ATAAAATTTCTTGTTAGTATATTGATCATATTGGCGGTAAAGTTTATGATGAGTTTTTATCAAAAGTGTTTGGTTTTTCAACTTCTAAAAGCATGATCCATCATAAGAGTACGAAATAGGAAAAAAAAAACATTTACTAGATGGAGGAATTAGACATTTCCTATTCATAAGACTTGGTTTGAATAAAACCAGTTGGAAAAATGTTTTCTTAGAGTTGTTTCTGTTTATAGTACGTGTAAATAGTAAAAAATAATGTACATTATATAACTATTTTGAGAAAAATGGCAATAAAAAAAGTTAATAAATAATATATAACCAACGAGTAGGTAATTAGTAATAGGATCATGCTGTATGGTGTAAAAGGAGTAATTTTTTCTGATGTAGATATGTTATAATTAAAATATAAAAACAGTACACACTTGAACTGGAAACGACGAAATAAAATAATTAAAATGTAAAAATAAATATTGCAGCATTAATTTACTCTCGAGCACGAAATAATTAAACTTACTTTAAAAAATACGAAAGGTTTTAATAACTCTTTGAAATTAAGACTTAGCATACGAGATTAAAAATATCATCATAATCATCATGATTATAAGGTCGTCAGTCCTAAGACTAGTTGGACACGCACCTTCACTCTTTTCTATCTTGTGCATTTCCCTAAAGCTGAAGCAACCCATATCGTTAAGCAATTAAAAATGTTTAATTCTCGTAATAGTGTTTTTAATTTATTTATTAAACATATCGGTTTTGCGAAGTTTTAGTGTTAAAATTGATTATTATCAACATACATTGCATGGGGGGTCAGAGAATATGTCCACTTGATTGTTTTGGCTTTTTAGAAAAAAGTTAATTGAATATTTGGTGGGTGTTATTCGCTAATATTCATTATAAATTTACTAGAATTTACATTATTTTTCAGAAGTATATACCTACTTTGTAGATGATACATTTGAGATTCTGATCACTACTTTCTTTACGCATATAAATTATTTATCTGCAGAGTTATATATAAATTTAAAAAGATGGAAAAGTATTGGAGCGTAACAAAATCGTCTTTGGTAATTGCTAGTTGACTTTCTTCTAACTTCTTGTAAGAATGTAAGTAGGTAATATAATGATAGCCTCGTTTTTCCGAAACCTCATCCCGTTTAATTGCCTTGTAAAATTCGATTAATTGCTAAAAATGCTGGCACACTAATGCTAAGCAATTAGTTTAATTTAATATGAGTGTCAAATGATTACATTTAGCATAAGAGTAAACCGATGTGGTGTCTTTAAGGTAATCTATATAAGATAACAGAACACAATCAATCGTTAAATTCATAAATCACTTATAGAGTTAATTTCAATGCAAAAATGTAAGTAATGATTTTAAAGGAGAAATTAATCTTGTTTAGTTTTTTTCAAGGATCAATAATGAGGCAAAAGCCTACAGAAAGCTTTATTCCGTCAATTGACACCTATGATTTGTCTGTGGCACAAGACCTCATTAGGGTAGGTGGTTAAACAGTATGGTAAAGATTATGGAAAATATAGTAAACCTTTTACCATTTTATTGGAGTTTGAAGAAAAGCAAGAATTAATTTACTTTCAAGAATGATCACCAAAACAATTAATTGGAAACCTTTTTACAAAATATCTAATAAGTAGGTAATGTGATATATTGAAACTGTTGGAGAATAGTCAGATACAAGAGAATTAGAAAGTTTCTGGAGTTGAGAAACATCGTTAGAATAACAGTTTCACATTGAAATTTCGTTCTCTCTATTGAAACCATTTTAGGTTTCAGTTCAATACCTTATATTGCTCTTCGAGTATCTATTGTCTTTTACCAATTATTATTATCCTAATCTTTCGCTTGCGATACGTTTAGAGTTTTAATGTAAAACGTTTAATTTTACATTTGGATTCATTGTAGAAGTAGTCCAACATTTAACGAAACATAATACATTAAATATGTAACATTGGAAACATTTATTTAAAAACTATATAGATAAATGGCTTGCAGTTTACTGGTCAACATATTAATTCTCTTGGTTGGCAATTAAAAAATATTACGTGGGATCGGCATTTTAATCTTTTAGTATACAGTATTTAAATTATACTGATCATTCCATTTGTTGTAGATTATACTAGAAATTGCTATAGCTAGTTGAAGGAAAATAAATGTTTTATTTACCATCAATTGTCTTTATTTCCCAAAAGAAAACTGGAGAAATTTACCGGTTTCAATTTTTTATCTAATTATCTTATAAATAGGCCCATCGAATTTACTTATAATGCTTTGTGTTTATGAATTGTTTTCATTAATCCTGTTCAACGCACCACACTTTTAGTTTTGTTTGAACCGAACTTCTAGTTGAAATTAATTACGCAGCTATAAGTTTGTAGACGTTTAAAAACTATAAAGCTGTGTCAAATATCAAGTTTGAATTTGTTCTCGCACATTTTCTGGAGACGATTAAAAAATCAGCTCTAACTTATGCCCTACACGACGATAAGAAGGACATAAAAATAAAACGTCATTCAATACGATTCTATATCTTTAAATTAAATTATTCGTTATTGCGTTAAAACTTCGAAATGACTAGAAGTATTCAAAGTACATGCATTCCAATAAATTTAAAACATACACCCAGACTAAAGCTAATATGCTAGTTATTCGTTATAGAGTTCCTTCGGTGCCTCCGCTATTATCTCGTCCTCCACCAAGTCCGTCTCTTTGTAAAGAATGGTGTTGCTGAAGGAACTTGGCAGCTGCTGGAAATCCTTGCAAATCAAATCCTGGTGGAATGACAATTCCAGCACCTGTTGTCGTTCCTTGAATGTACGATATAAGTCTGATCATTTCTTCCAGGGCATTTGCCTGCATCAGAATATAATTTCTCGCCAGAAGCAGGGTAGCAATTTTTGATAACTTTCTCACTGACGGGCTGTGAGCATATGGAATAACGGCTCTTAATTCGTCCAAAGCGTCATTTAAATCGTGCATTCTTTTTCTTTCTCGGGCGTTAATATTAAGACGCACTGCCTTTCCTTGGCGATTTTTTGACTTCCCTAGGCCTGTGTTTTGAGAACCAGAATGACCAGGCTGCTGCGACCTAAAATACAACCGTCATTTAAAAAAGACCATTTTTGACTTTAGTTCTTATTACTTCTTCGAAAGTCACTTATGGTTAGCGTAGTTCCCTTATTGAATATGGAGCTTTCACACAATTATTTACATTTTATGTGTTTATTAAATTATGTTGTCACTTAGTAACTAAATTTGTTAAAATTACATTTAGTATGGAACTTTTTATAATTGTGTAGATTTTTTATAAAAAAAAAAAACATGTCACATTTTAACATGTAATGAAATCAATCGTTAGCATTGTAAAAACAATACAAATCTTTGGGGTTACCTATTACTTCCGCCAGGTTCAGGACTATTTTCATCCGAGGGTCCTGAAGGGCCACCGACATTATTGGAGTTTTGAAAATAAAAAAAGCCACCCACCCCAACGGTTCCTAAAGGAGTTCTTCGACCTGGTACTTCTTCATTTGAATGATGAGAAAAGGAACTAAACGGTTGGTCATTTGGTAATCCTCCTGACGATTGATTGACAGTTGAAGAAGATGAAGAGCACTGGATAAATAGTCATGCCTTATTCAAATGTTGTAGGATGATTTATTGGAGGAATAAAATAATGGTTTAAATTGCTCATAAATTAAAATTTTTATTTTCTTTTTCAGTTTCCAAAAAGACATAGGTAAGACAAATCTAAATTACATAGATAAGCACAATTGACATTTATTTAGCTTGTGCATTAATTTAAAAAATACCATTCATCGGTTAATTGCTGCTAACTCACTAAAATGTAATGACAAATTTTGAAATAAATACTTTAAAATTTTATACAGTTATAAAATGGGAGAATGCTTTGTTATTATTATTAGTATTATTGTTCTTATTTACTTACAATTCCTTGCCATCCCCATGCAGGCGTATTTCCTAAATTATTAGTTGTAAGCCACTGATGTGTTTCAGGTATTTTTTTTGAAATAGCGAACGATGTTGAATCATCACCCTCAGAAGAAGATTCACAATCGAAGGACTTCATTTGTTAAAATCTTAACAGTAATTTGAATAAAACAAAACTTTTACATCACAAAATCATTGAACACCGAAAAAATAACTTAATTTTCCGGAGACAATTTTTCGAAAACGTGATGGACAGACATGAAAATTATTGCACTAAATAATTTTCTATTTGTTTCTTTTTGAAATTGTTTATCAATTAGGTGCGACACACATTTACACAACGACAATATTAGTCAGTAAAATCTTGGTTCTAAAAATCGCAGATGCGACCCTCTATCGTACAATAAGGGATGAAAGTCAGGGGCGGCGATTGCCCTTTATTCAGATATAAAAATTCGGTATTTTAATGCTTGCTAAATAAAACTCATCCAAATTCAACTTTAAAAACTTCGCGCACTAAAATCTAAAATACTCTCGAAATTATTTTTCAATAGTTTATATACATATATATTAACAACTGTCTTAATATTAGAAGAAAATGTGTAATCATGTACGAGGTCATAAATGAAACAAACAACAACTGTTTATGTTATAAACGGGATAAACATTATACTCAAGCTTTAATTGTAAGAGGAGCATTTTTCTGAAATTTAAATTTTCATTTGTTAAATCAGAAGATACAAGGCATTTTAGGGCTTTTAAAACTGAGCCATGTCTAAATGCAAAATTTTTTATAATGAGCGTAGGCAGTTTTCGGTGGTTAAAACATTTTCAATAACGAACTATAAGTTGTTTTTGATTATTTAGGGAAATATATACTCAAATGAGAAATGTTATTGTTGTTCTAATTTCCGCAGGATTAATGTACCTACCTATATTAATNTTACTTACACTTCAACAATTTTATTTAAAAATGTGCCACATTGAATACATTTCACACGTATGGTAAAAGAGAGAATTTTAATTACCGGGACAAAATTTTTAATGACGAAAAAACTTTCAGCGGCAGCAATAGCAGGAATTTGTCGAAAAAGCTAATTCTGCTAACGAAAAATATAGAGATAAAAGAACATATATTCATTGTCGTAGATTCTATTATCCCTTTTTTTAGTGTTGGAATGGAACGGTAGATTACCGATTCAGCTTTAGGCTAAACACGCATTCGGAATTTTAAAAATGTCAATTAAGGGAAACACAACACCGGATAACAATGTCGGTAAAACAATGTAATTGAATAGAACAGAACATGAATTCCTCGTTTGCTCCAAATACAAGGATCTATCGAAAAGTTTGTGTCCTGGATATGAAAACCAAACACTTTTTTAGATATGGATGCGGAGCTTTAGTGGTACGTACAGACCAACTGCATTCACTTCTATTATGTATATATATATTGATTTTTAACTAACAATAAGGCCCTTTTGTACGTGCATACAGTTTAACTATAAACACAAAAGTCCGGTATGGTCTAGTGGCTAGGATACCTGGCTCTCACCCAGGAGGCTCGGGTTCGATTCCCGGTACCGGAAAAATTTGTTTTTTTTTGTTCTCCTACAATTTTGCATAACAATGCATCAATTAGCATTATTTTAGATTGAAGTAACGTATGAATGAATACAGCCAACGTAGTCCGGTATGGTCTAGTGGCTAGGATACCTGGCTTTCACCCAGGAGGCTCGGGTTCGATTCCCGGTACCGGAAAACTTTTTGTATTTTTTTGAAAGTTGCCTTTTCGATTAAGAAAGTAAGGGTTTGTATTTGTGCTGCTAAAAATAATTTTTTATATAGCTACACAAACAATTTTCATGTAACATTACTATTTACATGTCAATGGTTGACAGAGTTACAATTATTGTTATTGATAACGGGAGATCGAAACTAACGAGTCATATTTTTAATTTTTAAATAGTTTAAAGTTTCCTGAATACAACTAAATTATTGAAAGATACAAGAGTGTAAATGCAAATGAGATTTTTGTTAAAGAGCTCCAAACAAACAAATAATTAAATTACCCTGTGGATGATCATCATCATCATCATCATAAGGTCATCAGTCCTAAGACTGGTTGGACACGTACCTCCACTCTTTTCTATCCTGAGCTATAGATGATATGATGAGTAAATGATTTAGGTGATCCTTCTAATTAAAACATTCTAACTTTATTCCTTCTATGATTTTTTCGAGCACATGCACTTAAGTACATATTTTCCTGTTTCATGTTCCTTTTTAACAAATCATTAGGTGCAATAAAAAAGAAACATGTTTATATTGATGTGGACATTTTAAAGTAGGTACATGTACTTTTTGAAATTATTGTTTGATTGAAGATGTTTTGGAGGTGCAATCGGAGATAAGAGTACATAAAATTAGAAATTCGTGATTAATTAGGTTTTGCAGCATATGATAAGGTAAATAAATACTATCTATACTAAAAAAAGTATACGGTTCGACAAAAAATTTG